TTGAGACCAGCCTGGGCAAGCCCAAGACCCTGTCTCTACAAACAATAGAAAAATTATCTGGGCGTGGTGGGGTGCCCCTGTAGTCCTAACTACTCAGGAGGCTGAGATAGGAGGCTCGCTTGAGCCCAGGAGTTTGAGGCTGCAATGAGCTATGCTAACACAACTACACTCTAGCCCAGGAGACAGAGAGAGATCCTATCTCAAAAAAAAAAAAAAAAAAGCAAAGATAGTGGATGTTAAGAGTTCTTATCCCAAAAATGAAAACTATGTGAAATAAGGCATTTGTTAATTAGCTAGATTTAACTATCCCACAACATATAATATACATACTTCAAAATATCATGTTGTACATGATAAGTGCATGCAATTTTATCTGTCATTTAGAAAAAAAAAAGAAAGTTGGAAAAAAAAATCCATTGGCCTGTGACAGAAAGCTCAATTTCTGTCATTGGCGACAAATTCTGTCAGGTGTTTTCCTTGAAGTGACAGGCTCACTTCATTCGTTTTTAAGAAAATGTCTGCCAAATCACTATGTCTGAATAACCAATTTGTCAGTCATTGTTTCAGAAAAAAAAATGTTGTTTTGTGTGTATAGCGGGTGTTTTTTCTCTGTGTCTGGTATTCTCATATGCGCTTTTTCTCTCGAGAGCGCTGTGAGTCTTGTGCGCGCGCCACGTGTTCTCTGTGTGTTTTTTTTTTGTCACGTGTTTTTTTTGTGTCTTCTGGGGGATTTTTATACACAATTTTTATTGTAAAAAAATAATAATAATAACAATTACCCTACCTTGATTCATACTTAGGCACCAGCAGTTTTAGCCACCTTTGCTGTGGCACTATCCTGCAAATGTCCACAGAGTGGAAACATAAACAAGGTCTTACTATTATTATGAAAATAGTTTTGGCCTTGAGGACCCCCTTGAGAGGGCTTTGGGGAACTCCAGGAGTCCATGGACCACACTTGAAAGTCACTGCTCTAGATGTATTCAGAATAAAGCAGAGCACAAAAAGAATTTTCATCTCCCTTCTTCTTAATAGCATGCCTTTATTAATTTGATTGCATTCTTTTTTTTTTTTTAAAGAGCCATGCCATCTGATTCATTTGTATTTGTCAGCTAACACACACAAAGATATCTTGGAGGATATGACACTAGAGCCTATATATTAGAGGTAATGCCTACCCTCAGTCTCGAGAGAGAAATGGCATCTTCCAAGTGAATACCATTGATACAAGAAATGCATTCGAGGCGGGAAGAGGAATCTAGGCAAATATACATGGACTGAACAGTTGGGAACCGGGAGAACGAGGGAACTATTTGCAAAAGAATGTGCTAGGGGACATACGCACGTGGCAGAGAGAAGTCAGCAGGGCGAAAGGAATGCCCACATGGGTTTGGGAACAGGCGCACGTGAGACTAGTGATTGGAAGAGACTGCTTTAGGCCAGTGGCTGCAAGTGGCAGGCATAGGGGCTGGTGGGCTTAGTCAACTTCAGGGTTATGAGCCCTAGTCACTAGCTTCAGAGGCCTGATGAAGGCTCCTCTTCTGCACCCATTGTCCAAAGCTCCAAGAGAATGTGGGACCCCCCCCCAGATGTTGGTGGGAAAGGATTCCTTGTCTCCAAAGATCCCCGTCTCCATATCGCTGTAGCAGTTAGGAGGCCTCAGGCTTCATCAAGTATTAATAGATATAGAGACATTCTGGTGACTTGGAGAAACCTGACCTTAAATGAAGCTACTGTAGTGTATGTTCTCGGGCACTCTCTTCTTTTGGGACCCCGCTGCAACCCATGTGGAGCCCTAGTGCTTCTCAACCTGGATGTCATTTATGGGATTAAAGGGTCTGTCTACCCTCTGGACAGTGAGTTCTGGAAGCAAAGACCACGACTTAGTCATTCAGCGAATGCTTGTGAAGGTCCTACTATGTGCCAGGCACTGTGCTGGGTGCTGGCGGGGTGACAGTAGTGAACTAGACCAAGTCCCTGCCCATGGAGCTGCCCATTTACGGACTGATCCTCTTCATCTCTCCATCCCTGCCCAGTCCAGGGACACAGTAGGTGCTCAGTAAGTGTTCCTTCTCTTCTACTCACCAGATCTGTAAAGGAACGATTGGAAGCTGTTCCACTGAGAAGCATCTTCTCATTTCTTCGAAGAGGCTCAGTTTTGTGAGCAGTTGATCAGCAGATGCTTTAACTTGATCCAACCCATCACCCTAATTTTGTGATTAGCTGTTGAAACGATGTGCCTTCCAGGGGTGACCTTGCTGTTCTCCAGCTTCTCGTCTTTGCCCTGAACCTCAGTCCTGCACCCCACTGTTGACGGGGCTCCTCCCTCACATCCTGCCTGCCAGGCTTCCCCTGTCATTGTACAAAGGGTGTTTAATCCCCACCCCTTAGGGACGAAAGATGGACAGAGGGACAGGTTCATTTCAGGGAGCTGGGAGGACGTTTGGGTTTCAGCTCTTGGTAACCCTGGCTTTGGGGAAGATCCGTTCTCTGCATGGAGACCAACTTCCCAGAGGAAGTCTGTCGGGGCTCCCATGCCTGCTCGTTGTGCCATGAGGGCAAAGGTCCCTGCCTCTAAATCAGGTCCCAAGCACGGGTGGTAAGAAGACTTAGCCAAGAAATAATCATCACTTCCCAACCTTCCCTATTACTAGAAAGTAGTAAACACACACACACACACACACACACACACACACTCACACACCCCCAAACAAAACAAGAGACATCACAGATTGCCTGGTATTATCATTCTTTCGTTCTGCCAACACTCACAGCTCATTGCCTGGGCAACAGGTACACAAATGGCCCAGAGGATTCTGCAATGACCAACACGTGGTTCCTGACCTCAAGGGGCTTCACTCTCTGGTTGGGGAGACAATTACGTAGAGCAATGATTTCAATCAGCTCTTTGGAGAAGGTCCACACTCCTCGGTGAGACCTGCACGGCGCAGGATCTGGCTCCTGGGACCTGTTCCAGCCTCCCCTCCTCCACCCACCACGGAGCCGCAACCACACCGAACCGCGTGCTTGAGTCCGGAACAGACGCTGCTATTATGTGCCTTTGCTTAAACTGCTGCTCTGCCCGGAAAGTCCCTCCCCACGCTAGCAAACACGCCTGTGTTCCCTTCTCTGACAGCGCTTCCCCACCTGCAGCAGATCCCAGCTGGAAGACGGGAGATGCCGGAACCTTAATTCAAGTTCTGAAATTTTATTTTTCCTGAGACTGAACATTTCACTGAATGAATTGAGTCTGTTTGGTGACTTACAAGTAACCATAGCTTTCGGATTTTTTAACCTAAGGTTAGCCAGACAATTTTGAGGCTTGTCCCAGTTTTCATCCAGGGACAGGGAGAATGCAAACCTCCAGAAAAAAATGCAAAGGAATACTGGGAGGAAAAGATAAAACTACGTTAGGATGACATCCTATAAGCCACGATTGCTCAGGCTTCCAGCGACCCACGTCTACCTTTCCCTGAGACTGTGAGCTCCCTCCTGCCTAGAGGAAGGACTGTGCAGAGAGCAAGCGCTCAATTAAGATGGGGGTGGGCACAGAGGTAGGAAATAAAACTGCAGGCCAGGGCAGGCTCTGTTTCCCAGAGCACGTGCTGGCAGCAGGACTCACAACCCACACTGCCCTAGGAACCAGCCTCCAGGGCTGGCAGGGTCTCTCGAAGGAGGCCTAAGAGTGTTTTAGCAACAGCTGCCTTTCTTGCACAGATAAACCCAGAAACTTTATCAAGTAAATGCACCCCAGAAAGGCACTGTGAGTGCAAAGTGGTTAACAGAGAAGGTGTGGACAACAGGTATCAGATCCTTTCCTGCTGACACTGTGCTTGTGCAGCAGAATCCACGAGAGGAGCACGGACCCACCTAAAGAGAAGGGTCATGACCAGGTAAACCAAAGACATGGCTGGCAGCCCACCTGTGTGCACTGCCTTGATCTCACCAGCTGTGGGATACGCATGCTGTCCCAGTGAGGAAAGCGAGGTTGGCAGGTTAATGAACCCACCCCAAATCACACCGCTCCTAAGTGACAGAGCTGCAATTTAAATTCAGGTCTGTCTGGCTCCAGAGCCCCTTCTAGCAAGCCATACACAGCTAGACTCGGGGTCAACAAGCCTTCATTGCCTTCTTCCGATTTTTGGAGGCTACTCTGTAAACCTTCAAGTGTGTGCACTTACGGGCCGTGGCCCTGGGTGACTTTAGACCCCCCATGCACATGATCCATGCTTGCAGGGGTGGAAGCCCAAGGGCAGAGCACAGGAAAGCTACTGCTGAGGACAGGGGGAGGCTCTCCCAGGCTTCACGCAGTGTCCCTGACCACCCCTCTGCCCAGCCGTGTGTATCCTGCCTCCCCTGCCTTGGGACCCCCACGTGGCCAAGCTCACTAGCCTCTGGCTTCACAGGGGCTGGTGGAAAGTGGCTAACACTTTGTCAACCAACCCAACCCCTTGGCGGTCCCCTCGCAAGCCGACCTCATGCCAGAGCTGGGCACCCATCATCTGACACCTGCTGAGTCCGCACAACTGATGGAGCACCTATCAGTGGACTAAAGGACATGGAACCATCCCTGGGGGCCCAGTCAACTGCAAGGGACACCAACTCTTTCTCAAACCCTAACTGGCCTTTACTCTTCTCTCTCCTGCTGGTGAAAGGCCTGGAATACAAGCAGCCCCACTCTTGGGATCAAAATCCATCTATGAACCAAGGATGGGCCACCCTGGTTCTGGAGGGGCTGAACAGGGGTGGGGATGGGGGATTGGCTCAGCTTTGGGCCTGGCCTGAAACCTCCCCTTCTTGCCCCCACCTGCTGGGTCAAATCTGACCTCAGCAGAGAGAGCAGAGCCTGTCATCTCCTCTGAAGAATGATACTCCCCGGCAGCTTTATGTCTCACTCTTCTCTAAGTTCTCAACAGCTAGTATGACAGTTGGCACACAGTAGGAGACAACATACGTTCGGGGAAGGAACGGCGTATCATCAGTGGAGAAGAGACACACGCTTTCACAAATTGATAGGTTTACTTCATTGTTAGCTGCATACATACATACATGTGGATGTATCTGAGTCACTTTAAGTCACATAATTGCAAAGACACAAACACACAATAGCTTATCCCTTGGCTGAGTGCCCTGGGGAATACTCCAGGCCCAGTGTGGCTTCTCTTCTGCATCTTCTGGCTGCTCTACCCGCTCTGGCCAGTTCTCCCAGAACCTGTGCTCTTTCTGTCCCTCCCTGCTGTTCTTCCATGGTGGTGGCAACACAGGGAAGGGCCATTGAGACAGATCACAGGTTCACAGAGGCCTGAACAGGCAGCATCTACAGCCTCAGCGCTGGCCGTCTCCCCTGCTCCACGTAGTGTGTGTTTCACCTCAAGGACACTACGAACTCAAGAACACGATAAACTCCTTGAAGGCAAGGACCGCCTGGGCATGGAGAGGCAGCCGGCAGGAAGAGCAGATCCTTGGCAGACGGCTGGGCATGGCACAGCTGGGAGGGCTCGGGGGCTACACGCAGGGCGGGGCAAGCCACAGACAGACAGCTGAGCCCCGACGCGGTGGGTGCTGGCGCAGACGAGGGGCCGCGTAGGGTGGCTTCCCCAGAGGGGACACTGACTGGTGCTACCATGTTCCAAATCCTGTGATAGGCACTTCAACTTCATCTCACTGGATCCTCACAGAGGAGGAAACTGAGCTCGAAGGCAATACCTGTGACATGCCCCCGAGTGGGGGCTCAAATCCAGATCTGTCTGCTTCTAAGCCCCATCCTCTTCCTTCTGTACACGCTGCCCCCCGACGGGACGTCTGCACTGGGGCTCAGAGAATGGTAAAGAGACCTCCAGAATAAATGAATCACTTTCAGAGCAAAGTAAAAAAACAAAAAAACAAAAATAAAAAACACAGAGAAAAAACAAAAAAACACCATATTCTCTCCTAATTTCACATCGTGAGTGGCGGGAAGAGCGAACATAAAGGACGCTGGAAACATGACTGTGGCAAGAAGAGCCTTCTGAGCAAAAGGGCAGCTTCTCCCTCCCCGGGATTTCTTGGTCTTTCAGCCAATAAGGCCGATGAATATTCCAGAACTGCTGCTGCTGCTGCTGAGTTCCAGAAGGGAGATCTCCCAACTTCAGATGTCTTCAGGAAGGCTTTACTCGCTGGGCCCTGGGTTCTCAGTTTTGTTTTTTATACTGCAAGACAGAGAGATGAGAAGTCGGGGAGGGAAGCCAACGGGGGCAGAAGGACTCTGGGGGTATCTGGAGTCCTGGTTGTCGGGGCCTCACCTGCCTCCTGCAGGGGCTTCTCGGAGGTGGTGAAGCCCAGTCAGGAGGCAGCGATCCCTCAAATCTCCAGTTCGTGCCTGGACACCTTTTCTTCTTTAATGGAAAAGGAAAAACTGCTGGGGCTGGAGAGGGAGGATGATAAGAAAACTGGGGACGTTGGCTGAGCACAGTGGCTCACACCTGTAATCCCAGCTACTTGGGAGATTGAGGCAGGAGGATCGTTTGAGCCAATGAGTTTGAGACTAGCCTGGGCAACATAGCAAGACCCCATCTCAAAAAAAAAAACAGAAAAGGAAAAGAAACTGGAGACATTAGGATTGAAAACTATGGGGGCACTCATCCTTTTTCCCGAGTCTTGCTCAGTGGGGAAAAAAAAAGTCTCGGTAGAAGAGAAGCCTCAGAAGCCAGCTAGTCCAATCACTGAGTTTAAAAATTGTACACTGCGCCCCACATCTGGAGAGTCTAAGTTAGGACAGAGAGGTGGGGACATACTCTGCCCTCTAGGTCCTTCTAATATGAGTTTAAGGACCAAGAAGCCAGTCTAAATCCTGACTCCCTCCCTCCCTCCCTCCCTCCCTCCACAGAGACGGATTCTTGAATGTTTCCTCCTAATCCTACTCCAGGATGAATACCCCCAGGGACAGGGAGCTCACTCCCCAAGACAGCCTTCCTCTCTGGACGTCACAATGGTGCTGCCAGCTTGGGCACCATCGAGTCCCAGAAGACTGTCATCTTCCTCCTTCCGGCTGCCCCTTCTCAGCTCGTTCAGCACTGTTAGGCAGAAACTGGCCTTTACGAATTAAAGGTGACACACCACCCCTCCACCTTGCAGAAAATAAATGCAACCAGAAGGGATCCCCTTTGGGCAGATTCTAGAGGAGGGGAGCAGCTGGCCGGAAACCTCCTCAGCACCACCATTCTCAACCGTGGGGCGGGGGCGGCCCCTAGTGGTCACAGAGGCTACAGCCAGCATTGCCCCAGCTCGCAGGTGGAGCGGGGAGCCAAGCACCTACTTTGTTCATGATCCAATCGGCATCTTCAATGGCTCGCTTAATAATCTGCTGGATTCTCTCAGGGTTGTCTTCATCCGAATGAACCCGGAAACTCTGGAGGTTTAAGCACAAGGAGAGATGACTCGGCAAAATTCCCAGGACCAGTAGCTTCAGGTCACTAAGTATGTAGTTGGGTTTTACACTCAGCATCTATCTCCCTAAATCCTCCAGGGACAGTTAGAGACGAGGAAACAGAGGCTCAGAAATCCTAACCTGCTGCCAAGCAATGGCATCTGAATCCTATTTTGCACTCTGCTTGACTGCAAAGCTTGTACTCCTGACAGCAGGGCGGTTGCAAAAAGGAAGACTGGCCCCCAAGTTATCCCCAAATCAAGCAGGGGCCAAGGAGAAACTTCGATCCCTATTCAGTTTGCTCCTTGAAGGAAGCTGTTTTTTCTCCAGGGGGAGATCTCTGCAGGGCCTTGCAGCAGGGAGGGACAGGCTCCCCTTGGCCCGGTGCTGGAAAGGAAACAGGGAAGGGAAGGGAGGCAGTGGAGTGGGGGGCTTTGGGAAACCCAGCCAGGTCAGTGCAAAGTGCGGGCTGCTGTGTGCTTCTCCCAGATGTTCACCTCTGAGAAGCAACCTGAGATGCAGTTCATCGCTGTGGGGTTCAAGGACCCTTCAAAACGAACCAGCACCTGTCACCCGTCACTCCCAACCCTGCAGCACATCCTCCTTCTCATCTTCAGGAACCACCTCAACACCCAGCTCTGGGAAGCCCCCCTGCCTCCCCTAGACAGCTAAAAACTTCCTTCTCCATATTTCCACAGTCCTCTGTGGCTACCTCTATTTTTTCACTTTCCATGTTATATTTGTATAAATTTTAGTTTTCAACTTTTTATTTGGAAATGGTTTCTAAATTATGGAAATGTTCCAAGAATAATACAAAGAATTCCATACCAGAATCACCAATTGTTAACATTTTGCCACATTCGTTTTATCATTCTCTCTTTATATGTGTGTGTGTATAGTTTTTCTCCAGAAGCATTTAAGAGTAAGTCGCAAGCGGCACCCCCCAGCCCCCTAAACATTCCAATGTGTATTTCCTAACAAGGACATTCTCTTACATAACCACAGTAATAGAAATTCAGAAAACTTAACCCTGATACAACACCATTATCTAATCTATAGCCCATATTCCAATGTCATGCATTGCCCCAGGCATGTCCTTTACAGCAATTTTTTGTTTTTTTCTGGTCCAGGATGCAATCTGGGATCATGCATTCTCATTGAGTTGTCACATCTCTTTAGTCCTGTTCAATCCAGCACAGCTCTTCTGCCTTTCTTTGTGTTTCAAAACATTGACATTTTTGATGAGTATAGACCAGGTAGTTACGTGGTAGAAGGTCCCCCACTTTGGGTTCACCTGATGTTTTCTCATGACTGAATCCATTTGTGCACTGTTGGGAGGGAGGCCTATTAGATGATGTTATGTCCTACACTCTATTCTGATCGTCCATTCAGCTGCCTCGGCCATGCCCTGGCACACAGCTGACCTACGGGGCGATGCACCCCGTTTCCTGGAGAGAAGCTGGATTGCCCAGCATTGGTTTCCTGCGGCTCTCAAACTGCCACCCCACCGCCACCTGAAAGACTAGCCCTGTGCCCTGGCCCTGGCCTCCACTCCCACCCCCCACCAAGGCCCCTGTTAAGAGAAACCGCCCAGATCCAGTGCACCCTGCGCCCACCTGCCTGACCGCGTGTTTGTAATGCTCCCGGATGCCCTTGGTCGGCAGCTGCCGGCAACAGCGCAGCAAGTAGCGGTAGAGCTGCAGCGGCCTCTGGACCAGCTCTGCCCCCGGCAGCGGGGCCATTCCCAAGACCCTCTGCCCCTGGAAAATACAGAGCATCACTCCTAAGGCATCAAGCCAAGTTCTATGCTCAGCCCTGGCTGAGGTCCCAGTCCTAGGGGAAGCAGGCTGGACACAGAGCAGAGGCAGGTCCCCCTCGTGCCCACCCCACGGAGCCCGCACTCTGGGCTGGGCTGGGCGTTCAGTCCTGCGGAAATCCCAGCCCAGAGCAGGCCGCAAAGACCACTGGCAAGCGTGGAAGGAGATGCACAGCCTCATCTCTTGTGTCTTCTTTCTGGACCCTGACTTCAGGTGGCGGGTGAGGAGGTATCCCTGACAGGCAGAGCAGGGCAGATAAGCAGGAAGACCCTGAGGGGCAGTCACCGAGAAAGCAGCTCTGACGTCAGCCGATGCGTTCTGGTGAGGGCACCAGGCAGCAGAGGGGAGAATGCCCACAGGTCTGGGCCTTGCTACTCAAAGGATGGCCCCAGACCAGAAAAGCCTGCGTAACTGGAGGCTCCTTAGGAATGCAGAGTCTCAGGCACCCCCCAGACCTACTAGACCAAACCTGCATCTTAACAAGGTGCCCGGGAGAGTCACATGCACATTAAAGCTTAAGCAGCACCATTCTAGAAGCCTCTGCATGAAGGAAAAGCTGCACACAGTTGCTGTCATGCACTCAAAGCCTGGGCACATGATTTCATTTTACGGTGTTAGCACTTTTTCTGTTCTATTCACTTTAAATGTGATTAACTGCACACATAAGAAAAGCATGCACAGAGAGGTCTGGTAACTTGCCCACGATCACACAGCTGATAAAGGAGAGCTGGGATTTGAATCCTGGAAGTACGGCTCTAGACTTTAAAAAAAACAAACAGCTTTATTGAGGTAGAGCTGACATACAACCAACTGCACATATTTAAAGCATATAATCGATAGGTTCTGGCTTATGTACACACCTCGGAAACCATCACCATAATCAAGACGGTGAACATACCCATCAGCCCCAAGTTACTCACACCTCTTTGTAATCCCTCCCTCCTGTCCTCCCCCTTCCCCATCCCCAAGCAACCACTGCTCTGCTGTCACTACAGATTCGTTTGCATTTTCTAGAGTTTTGTATAAGCAGAATTATACAGTGTGCTCTCTCGTGTCTGCAGAGCCCATTATTTTTAACTCTGTATTAAGGCTCTCTCTAAAGAACCCACAACTCTAGCCTGATCTCTTTTTTATTTTTTTTAAGGAAACTGTGAGAATATAGATTGTTTCAAATGTTAGATTCTAGAACATACAGACTTGCTAAGCTTTCAGTAAGTGCCCCTCTGTGTGCTCACTGCCCAACCGACTCCTGCCTGAAACCTGCCTGGTGTCCCTGCCCCCAGCCCGCCACTCCAGTCCCCTCCGCACTGACACCCAATGAGCTCCGGAACCAGCGTCCCAGGCACCTTCCAATCGGCCTTAAGAACTTCTCCCAGATCGCCCAAACCATCAAGTAGGTCACCTCTCGGTGCCTGGGCACGTGCGGCTCCCTGAGCGTGGAGCTCCCTTCCTCGTCTCCTCCAGTCCAGCCTAGTGTCATTCCTCCAGGAGGCCCTTCCTGACTGTCCTTCCCTGGGGACGGAGGGAGTCACTCTGTCCGCTGTGGGAATGTAGTGCCTGCTTCGTGGTGCCACAACAGCCACTCCCACCTGCTGGGGACTCGTGCCAGCTCCCTAGGGTGAGCGGCCGGCCCGCAGCAGGCTCCACTCCCTGTTCAGCCGAATTGAATGAATCTATTATCTCCTCTGTACGGATTCCCCTCCACGAGACAGGCCCCCTATGATCCAGAAGGAGCTAAAAGAAATTTAGCGGCTGGCCTTAGTTTTAAAGGAACACAAAAAAAGACAAAGACAAGCCCCCTGCCCCCGACACCCCTGCAATAAAAGAGAAGAACTGGATCACCACATCTATCAGATGCCCTTAAACTAAGAAAGGAAGCTTAGGAAGTGGCTGGTTTCAGAGGCTTCGTTCTATTTCCGGCACATTAGCTTCCTGGCAACAATACATGTGTCTCCACAGCTAAGGTAGCCAATTCCTCCTGGTTCTCCAGGCTGTTGTCTTGACACTGGTGTGGACAGGTGGCTGTCTGCCCCCTCATCACCTACTCTCCCTTCTGGTAGCAGCCCAAACGTGCACCTGGGGTAAAAACTCCCAGCCTTCAGCCCCCGGGGTCTGAGTGGGACTCCGCCCCAGGCCTGGCCGACCAGAGCCCAGCGTCCACGTGGGCACAGGGACCGCTACGCAGATGGACGTGTGACAGAGGTTGGTCTGATCAGAGTGAATCTCAACACCCCCGCAGAGCTGACCAAAAGGACTCCAGCTCTTTCCCACTAGACTTGAGGCAGAGGGGACCGGATCCTGTCTCAGTGAAGCCACCTTGCCTCCTCATGAAACCTGGGACCACAGCCACGGAGCAGAAGGCAGAGCGGAGACTCTGAGAGAAACCAAGTCCAAAGAATTCATTTGAGGCCGAAAACCACCCACCTGAAGGCAGTTCCAGATTCTCCCATGATGAGCTTCTGACGGTTCCAGCTCTGAGGAAGTCTGGACAAGACAGGGCTCCTCAAGTTCCTCCTGCTATGAATCACCGATTTGCCAGGCTGACTGGCCACCCTTGAGCCCAGCAAACAGAGGGGAACCCCACAGAATGGCGGCCAAGACCTTCAAGGGCAACCTTGAGGACATACCACCAAAGTCCCCAACCTGACGGGCAGACTCCCCTGGCAGGTTTTCCCAAACTATATAAAGTAGTAATCAAATATTGTAAAATGCTAGTCGTGGAACAGATGGTCACCATCTGCAGTCCTCAAAATTAACATTTGGAAAGAGCACAACTTTGTTTCACTGCTTAAAACCCCAAGCAATACTTAGTAACCAACCCAGCAAGTATGGGCGGCAGATTATTTTCAGCTCAATTATAATACTTAGTCATTCTCAGTAATAACTAGTAGAGAATACATGTGTGGGTCCACTTAGAAGAGCTAAACTAAAAGCATTTTAATTTAATTTAAAGTGTGGGTTTGCTATTATTTAACAGGCAATGAACCTCACAGCATCATTGCTAAACCTGGAGGCAAACCCTTTGGCCCCAGCAAGAACTGCTTTGCTTATCCTGCCCTTTCAACCTGACCTTAGCCTCCACCCGGCTCCCTGCCTCTGTCATGCCACCTCCATCTTCCCAGGCATCCCAGACTCCTGTCCCCCGATCCCCACGCCACTGGTTTCTAGGTCCCATCAAATTCCACCTCTGGATGACTCCTCACAATTGTCCCCTCCTTCCTACTCCTCTGCACATCCCTGGTTCAGACTGTCATCACCTTTCACTGGGACAACTGCAACAGTCCCCGAGCCGGTCTCCCTGTTTACCAACCCATTTCCCTACAATCTGTTCTCCACCCAACAGCCAGAGTGGATCTTCCCAAAGCATAAATCTCAGCATGTCCTGTCCCTTCCTGAGGTCCCTGCTGTCCACTCCCATCCTGCATCATTCATGGCAACTTTCCCCAAAATGTGGGACAAATACCTAAAATTATTTGAAGCACTATATGGACCAACATCTTTTTTTTTTTTTTTTTTTTGAGACAGAGTCTCGCTTTGTTGTCCAGGCTAGAGTGAGTGCCGTGGCGTCAGCCTAGCTCACAGCAACCTCAAACTCCTGGGCTCGAGTGATCCTTCTGCCTCAGCCTCCCGGGTAGCTGGGACTACAGGCATGCGCCACCATGCCCGGCTAATTTTTATATATATATATCAGTTGGCCAATTAATTTCTTTCTATTTATAGTAGAGACAGGGTCTCGCTCAGGCTGGTTACCTTGAGCAATCCGCCCGCCTCGGCCTCCCAAGAGCTAGGATTACAGGCGTGAGCCACAGCGCCCGGCCAGGACCAACATCTTTTTATTATGATTTTATATTTATTTTCATGTGTAATGAAAACATAAAATACCCATGTTTTCATAGATATTATGACTTAAAGTATTTTTTAAAAATAGGCATAAAATTGATTTTTTTTAATGTATCAAACAAATACTAACGCACCTGAAATGTGGACATGGCGAAATCAGGACAGTGGCAGTGAGGTGTGGAAAGCACTGGTCTACAGGATCAAATCCGGACTACTCCTGCTCATGGCCTACAAGGCCTCCTAGAGGCCCTCCCTGAACCAGCACCCCTGGCACTATGCCTCGTGGGAGGCCTGTGTGGTTATCTCAAAATAGCCCTGATCACCCTGCACTGCCCTGGTTGAGGCTTCCAGTTCAGGCTCTCACCTGGATTACTGGAAGGGCATCCGGCTGCCCTCGGGCCTCCGCCAGCCATTCTCCACATAGTGGTCGTGGCGCTTTCTCAACCTCCCAGCTGAAAATCCCAACGGAAAACTGAAAACTGTCCACAACTGGACAGTTGACGATTCTGTAAATTATCGTTAATTTTCCCGAGTAGAATACTGATAACGTGGTTATGTGCGAGAATGCCTTTAGCCTCGGGAGATGCAAGTGGAAGTATTTAGAGGTGATATGTCATCAGGTCTGCAACTTACTTTCAAATAGCTCAGCAAAAGATAACACAGAGAGAAAGGAGTAAGAAAGATAAGGACAGGTGGTGAAATGTTAATGTTGTATTTAGATGGCAGGCACTAACGGTGAACACTGTGCTATTATTTAACTTCTACATATTTTGAATATTTTCCTAATAAGAAGTTACTTTAGAAACATTCCCTGGTGGGGAGTCATCCAGCTGTCCTCCCGCCACGTGCTCCCCGGAGGCAGGGAGCTCACCCGCACTCCATCTTCACTCTGCTCAAGCTGCTGGAAAGTCTGTCTGGGTCTGAGCTGAACGTTACCACTGCAATATTCTACTCATTGGTCTGAGCTCTGCCCTCTGGGGCTAAAGTCTTCCCTAACCTACCCCCAGTCCAGCTTTTCATTAATCAGTCAACTACCCCAGCACCCCCTCCCACTGCCCCTCATCCCTCTCCCAACATTAAGCATCCCGAAAATGCTACTAATATCATCTCCCAAAGCTTTTCCTTTCTTGAGGCATATACACCCCCATTATTGATACTCATCTTAAATATACTGTCCAGCGGGAAAACAATCGTCTGGTTGTGTAAACCAACTTCACTGGCCAGGGGCTGGCACCCCTTTTGACCTACGAATTCAAGGAATGCAGCCCAGACTGCATTCTCCGCGTGAGCCCTCATGTGGCCCTGGCATTGGGCTCAAAGGCACCTTTCTCCCAGGAGCTATTCATAAGTATGTTTGCCCGGCTTGTATTTTATGAGTTCAGTCCAGAGTCACAATCTGCCACAAATCCTTGGGGTGTCTGATTCTGTTATCTAACTCAACTCAATTCAACGTAACAAGAGCACAGAAACAACCACTTAACAGGTACGAGTGGGGTACAACTCTTTCTGCCTTAAGCATCTGTCACCCATGCAGCGCCACTCAAGAGTATCTAGCATGTGTACAACTCTGGACTCAGCCCTAGGGCCACAGAGATGGACAGTCTGCCGTACCCAGCTCTCCTATCCAGAACCCTCTGCAAAGCTAACAGCATGTCTTCCTACCTACCACTCAGGAAGTGATCAGCACATGCCAAGTGTGAGAGCTTTTCAAATGGTCATCTCACTGCATCCTCATGGCAATATTACAGGGTAGGTATCATTAGGCCCATTTTATAGACGAGGAAACTGAGATCCTGAGAGGTTAAGTAACTTGCCAGAAGCCATACGGCTAGTACATGGCAAGGCCAGGAATCAAACCTAGGTCTATTTGGTTCCAAAGCCCATGCCCTTATCTGCCTCACGGCACCACCTGCCATGTCTATATCTGAGACATCCGTAAAACTGCTGACCACATCAGGGCTAAGAACCCCACAAAGAACTCTCCTAGGGCTTATGCAGGACCAGGTTCAAGCATTTATAAAAGCACTTGACTTTACTATTATCCAGTACTTCTCAACCTTCTCTACAAAACCTTGCTTCGTGCTTTTCTGAAACACAAAGACATCATCTGTAGCTTCCCCCTGCATACAGATGGAAAAAAAAGAAAAAGTCACCAAGCTGACATCAACTACACAGATAAAGGAAAGGGCAGCTAAGAAATGCTTAACAAAAAAGCACTTACAAGATCCAAAGAGAATATGACAGAACAAAGAGAAGAGAGGAAATAAAGCTACAAAGGGAATTTCCTGGGAGCCGAGTGGGATCACTGGCACAGATGTCGAGAGACAGGCCTACGGTTCCATTTAACCCCACTGTCCTTTTCCCTCACCTGTGTCCTGACATAGGGTACCTAAAAATAAGTGGGAAAAAAGTCACATATTAAAAAAAGAAAGAAAGAATAGAACTGCAGAAAATAACCAGAAATTATGCCCTATTGAGCATTGATACAAGCTAAATTAAGCCTGCACAGGCCATTTTTTAAATATGCAATTACTCTTCTTGATGGGGAAAGTTGAAAAATAGGAATGAAGTGGTTCTGCTTCCTGCCCCCATCCACTCCAGGGCTCCATCTTGCACGTACGTATATGCTCGCCCAAGCTAGAGCGGGGCAGTAATCCCTGCCTTCTCCAGCCCCTCTCCCACATGGTCAAGGTTCTAACGTCCCCCTACCCTTGGTCCCCCACTTGATCCCCACTGGTGCCAGGTTCCTAGCTCTGCACCCATGCCTTGCCTGGACTACCCCAATACTTCAGCTTCTCTCCTTCCAGTCCAATCCACACAGCGCCACCTAAGGGTACTTCCCAAAAAACACACCTGTCACCCCCCTTCCTCAAAACCTCTGGGGGAGTTCTTTACCCATGGCCTTCTGAAATCTCTTCCGACTTCTCTCATGCATCTGACCTGCTGCCATCCTTCCCACACTTCCTGCATTTTAGCCACAGGTAGAACCTGGAGGTTAAGTTAATGGACTTTGGGATTTGAGAGTCTGCACTCAAATCCTGGTTCCATCACTCGCCAGCTGTGGGACCACTGGCCAAGTTTCTTAATTTCTATCTCAAATTCTGTTTCTCGTATGTCAATGGGGGACGTAGCAGTATTTCCTACATAGGACTCTTGTAGAGATTAAATTTAATGCTCCTAGGCCGGGCGTGGTGGCTCACGCTGTAATCCTAGCACTCTGGGAGCCGAGGCGGGCGGATTGCTCGGGGTCAGGAGTTCGAAACCAGCCTGAGCAAGAGCGAGACCCCGTCTCTACTATAAATAGAAAGAAATTAATTGCCCAACTAAAAATATATAGAAAAAATTAGCCGGGCATGGTGGCGCATGTCTGTAGTCCCAGCTACTCGGGAGGCTGAGGCAGGAGGATCGCTTGAGCCCAGGAGTTTGAGGTTGCTGTGAGCTAGGCTGACGCCACGGCACTCACTCTAGCCTGGGCAACAAAGCGAGACTCTGTCTCAAAAAAATAAAAAAAAAATAATGCTCCTAAAAAACTTAGCACAGTGCCTGGCACATACTGTGTGTTTACTATTAACTGCTATACCCCCTCTGAAATGTGCTGTGCTCTCCAACATCTCTTTCTTTCCCTTACCTTGAATTCTTCACCTGCCTTATGAATTCCTCTTTAACCTCGAAGATCCAGCTCCCGTGTCACCTCCTTGAGGGTTTCATCCCAGGCTGCTCACACCCCATTACAGAGTCATCACACTGTACTGCAATCATTTATATATTTTGTGATGCAAGAACATAGAGCAGGTTTTGGAGACAAGCAACCCTAGTTTAGAAGCCTGCCTCTCCCATTTACTAGCTGTGTGATCCTAGGCAACTTGCTTGACCTCTCTGGACTTCTGCTTCCTCCCCTGTAAACTGAAGAACACAATACCTACCTCATAAGGGTTTTGTAAAGATCAAGCTAGCTGACGCAAGGAAAGTGCCTGGCACCGGGGCTGGCACATATTAGGCGCTTGAACATCTCACCCTTTCCTCCATTACTTGGCTAACTGTGTTCCTTGCTAACTATAAGCTCCCGGGGGACAGAGACCACATTGCATTAGTCACTCCTCCGCAGTTAACAGTGCCTGGACCACAACAGAAGCTCAATAAATGTGGAATGATTCCCATTTGCCAGAGAAGAAACTAAAGCCGGGAGGAAAGTGGCAGTCCTGAAGTCATGAACCTAGCAGAGCCAGGTTTCAAACTCAGGTCTTTTGGCTCTGAGTTCTCTGCTCTTTCTACCACACCTGCTGTCTCAAAGGCTAAGGAACCACCCTGAATATCACACATGTCAGTACAATCCACCCTGAGCCTTTGCCAGTTTAAAGTGCACCTGGTGAGCTATCCCAGCCAAAGCAAACCAGAAACCATGCAAAACGCAAACATGCTGGGCTCCTGGGAGAAGAGCAATCAGTACTCTGAACTGAATCACTCTGGTGTCAGACTACATTGTGCCTAGGGTCTCCCCACACAGGCCATAACACACCAACCCGGTTTGAGAGCAAACGAAGGGAATTAACAAGTATTGGACACCTACCTGGTGGCAAGCAGGTACCTACCAGGCAGCAAACACTGAGCTGGGCACTCCACAGGGACTATTTAATCTACAACTGCATCACTACTCCCA